TCCATTCCAGGGAGTAAAGATTATGTAGCTTAAGCATGATTGTTCGTAGTTAAAGAGATTAATTACCCGCCTGGCACTTAGTGAAGGGAAGTTGGTGATCTAGTTTCTTTTCTTTCTTTTTTTCATGCATCTCTCCAATTTTGCCAACACTATTTATTGAAGAGATTGTCTTGACTCCATTGTATGCTCTTTTCTCCATTTAATTGAGCAAAGCAGCTTGAGTCAGTTTCTGCGGTCTCTGTTCTGTTCCATATCTGTATACCTGTACTTGTGCCAGTACCAGGCTGATTTGATTACAGAGTCTTTGTAATATAACTTGGTATCTTGTATTGTGATCTCTCCAACTTTGTTCTTCTTTCTCAAGTTTGCTGCAGCTATTCATGGTCTTTTTGGAGTGTTTGTTCTAGATTTGCAAAATATGCCGTTGGTGTTTTAATAAGTATTGCATTGAATTTATAGATTCCTTTGGGTAGATTGGACATTTTAATGATGTTAATTTGATGGATCTATGTATACAATATATTCTTCCACTTGTTTATATGTTTTTCTATATCTTTTTGCATTGTTTTGTAGTTTGCCAAGGACAAGTCTTTTAACTCCTTGGTTAAGTTTATTAATCAATTTTTATTAATAAATTCTTACCTTTTCCTTGCAATGATAAATGAGATTGTTTTTTAGTTTCTCCTTCTGATAGATCATTATTGGTGTATAAAAATGCTATGGATTTCTGGGTGTTAATTTTTATCCTGCTACATTGCCTAATTAACTTATTAAATCTAGTAGTTTTTTGGCGGACTATTTACAGTTTTCTATGTGCAATATTGTGTCATCTGCAAATAATGAGAATTTTACTTCCTCCCTTTCAATTTGGATGGCTTTTATATTTTCCTATTGTTTGATCACTGTCCTAGCACTTCCAGTACTATATGTAATAATAAAAATGTAATATGCTAATTAGACCAGACATACTTCCGGACAACCTTCCAGATGAGGGAAGCCCGGGTCCCGGGAGCCAGAGGGAAGCTGGTGCTGGAAGCAGGGGGCCAGAAGGCCTACTCTTGCATGAATTTCATGCATCAGGCCTCTAGTGTTGAGTAAGAGTGGTAAAAGTGTAAATCCCCTCTTGCTCCTGTTCTTACTGGAAATGGTTTTAGTTTTTGCCCATTGAGTACAATTTTGGCTGTAGGTGGTCATATATGGCCTTTATTATGTTCAGGTATGATCCCTCTATCCCACTTTGCTGAGAGTTTTTGTCAAAAATGGGTGTTGGACTTGGTCAAGTGCTTTTTCTGCCTCTGTTGATATGGTCATGTGATTTTTGTCTTTCAGTTTGTTTATGTGATGTATCAGTTTTACTAATTTGTGAATACTGTGCCTGCCTTGCATCCCTGGGATAAATCCCACTTGGTCATGGTGTATGATCTTTCTAATGTATTGCTGGATCTGATTTGCTAATATTTTATTGTGATTTTTAGCATCTATATTCACCAGGAATACTAGCCTGTAATTTTCTTTCTTTGTAGTGTCTTTATCTGGTTCTGAAACTAGGATAATGCTGGTTTCATAAAAAGAGGTTGGAAGTGTTCCTTCCTCTTGGATTTTTTGGAATAGTTTGAGTATAAGTG